AAGAAATTCACATATTCGCATTCTTAAATTTCCAGTCACATAGAAGCAGTAAAAATTCTTTTGATTTTGCATAAATTTCATCTAAAAATAGTTTAGATTTATTCACGAACCGAATCTTACAGCGAGAGATGATGGACTACGATGATTCAGACCTTTAGAGGATCCAATATCCAATATGATCCTGGAGAGTAAGCGTGTGCCCAGCGACAATTAACCAATAACACCGGCGATCGATGCCAAACACACAAAATGACAAATGGAAAATGAAATGAAATCTGTGCTACAACATTTACGGATAGATCGGAGCAACAAAAAGCACATTGTTCATGGTATTCCATGTGTGTTTCTGGGGGAGTGTGTGGAATATTAATTACATTTTTGCTTTAACTTTGATTTCTTCCCCTACAAAACGAACAAGCAGATAGATAGAGCGAGAGAGAGTGAGAGAGGACGCGCGTTTAACAAGTGTTTTGCGTTGTAAAAACAAGCGAATCAGAGAGGAACAAACCGAAGAAGAAAAATACCAAGGAGAGGAACCAGAAGAGTAGAAAATAAAACGATGAAATTCAAATTCGAATTAAACGCATTCCAGAAAAGAGCAACAGGCATGGCATGTTATGGGGAACGGGATGGGGAGCGTGAGGCATGCAAAACTCAGAGATCATCATTGAGATTAAGCGCGGCAAAAAGGAAGGCACTGGCGGGAAGAGGGACAAGATTGCATAAATGGCAGCCGTTTGTGTATCTGTGTGTGTGTGTGTGCAGCAGTCGACCCTCTTAGCAGTTGAGACACGCATCTTGCATATTTTCGCCTTGATGTTGATCGACAGTTTGACATTTTATGTCGTCGCCGCCTGTCAAAAGGATGGCGGTTACTTTTTCTTTATTTTTTTCGTTGTACCCTGTAGGGTATAAGCTTTTCGATCAAATGTTTGCAACGTTTGGAAAACTGTTATTTTATCTAAGCGTATTCTAATCAAATAGTGCTGAAGCTTTTTCCAAAAATGTATAAAAATCAGAGGACTATTTCTGATAGCTTCGCAGGGGTAACAAATGTTTCGAACCTTCCGCAAAGGAATTCCGAATTTAGCTTATCTCTAGTCCTACCTACCCACTCTGGCCGCTAGATGGCCATCACTTAATACCCTTTGACGATATTCATGTTTAGCCAAAAATGTTGATTGTTGTCGGGTTAGGCGGCACGGCACAGCACTGTTTTGGCTCCCAATGTTGATTGCTTTCTTTCGACCCCAACAATGAAGACAAAACACAAACACACACATACAAACTTGAATACGGGCACACACACATACGGGCACACACACACACAGTGAAGCCGCAAAGGCAACGGTAAATAAATACAAAAATTCAGTCACGAACGCTTTTACTCGACTTTTCCGCGCTCGGTACGTACGGTACCAGTATATCGGGACGTTAGACCGTTCCCGTTCCACGACAAAACGAAAATTAAATAGTTGCTCGCTCACTCTGCCCCGATCGCTGTGTCTGCCCACAGTGCACAGTGCACAGAGCACAGAGCAGAGCACAGTAAAGCAGAGCGCAGAGCAATATAAATAAAAGCAGAGCAGAGCGGGTGGAAAAAAGTTTGGCGCGCTTTGGAGCTCGTTTTCATTTATTTTCTCTTTCATTCGAACTGTAAAGAGTGTAGAGCGAGTGCCAAACAAAAGAGCAAACGGAGAGAGAGAGAGTGAGGAGGAAAAAGAAAGGCTAGCTTTGGGGCCTGAAGCTTTTCAGTGCTCTTGGACATCGAAAAAATTTTGTGACGATGCTTATGTACAAATATCCATAAAAAGCCTTTTTTGACAGATCCTTTCTTTGTTTTTACAGCAAATAGTATTCATCAATCCATACAAAATGGTAATTTATAAGGTTTGATGGAAATATTAATACATATTTTCCCTTCTAAACAAAATAAACGATTCGACATGCGGATTCTTCACGCTAGACAGCTGAACAAACTTTCAAATGTACTAGTATTTGGTCTGGCCCGTGTTTTGCCGCAGTCACAATCTTCCAATCCGTATAGAGTGAATGAACAATATGGTTTCTCTGAAGTTCATGGTACTCTTTCTGACCATCGTGCTTTACTTCCTGGATGACGTTTCAGCAGTCACATGCTATGCGGCACCCCAGGATCCAAATTGCATTGATTGTCGCCAATATCCCTCACATGTAAATTGCCTGGTTGGGATATCAACCACAGTTCCTCCAACTCATATGATAAAAAGGCAATGCCTTGTTCCCAGAATTTGCAACTTATTTGAGTTCTCCAAAGCTTTTGTACCGCGACTTAGGGATCTTCGAAGACCTCATAGATTAAATTAAATGTTCTGTTCGTCTTTGAGTTTTTATTGCAGGAATTTGAAATTTGAATCAGCCGGACAATGCTCTCAGGAAGTTCCTTTTTCGGTTGAGTATTAAATTCAGTTTGTTGACAATGAACTGCTTCTTTGGACTCAATGCTCTCCTCGTGGTTATCGTCGGAGCCACTGCGGTTGTTGTTGTGACCGCCTCAGTGGTTGTTGTGGTTATCGTGATGGGGCATTCTGCGTTTTCGGGATCGGCGTCACAATCAACGCAGTTAGGATCGTCGGGAACATCATCACAGAGGACAGCCATGGTTCCCGTCAAGCAATAGAAAACGCCAAATATCAGAATAAGATACTTTGTCAGCTGCATTTTGGTGGTTTTTACTTAAACTTCTTTATCGAACTGGCTATTTTGCAATATCATTCCAACTTGGATGTCGCTGTATTTATATGGTATTATTATGAGCGTCCTTGGGGCACTCCAAAACCTCTATTGGTTTTTTTGTTTGCAAAAGGAAATTCGATCAATTGTTGATACCAAACTTTGGGATGTTTGATTAGCCAAAACTTGTGTGTATTAGACAAATATTCTATACTATACAAAGTTGAAGACAAATGTTGATAGAATTAAAACAAACAAACAAACAAACATCTGTTGAATGAGAAATTCAAAATAATTTGTACGGTTTTTCCATGCACAAGTTTTTGGTGTGTAGTACTTTCGCTTTATTTTAATTTAAATATTTTTAAATGAATGAACTGTCTCTCTAGCGATTCACTTTTTACACGTATGCCGCTTGGGCAACAACATAAAGTTGATTCCGGTCTGATTGCCAATAGAATACACTTTAAGCATTGTTTCCTTTAGAGATTAATTGTAAAATTATCATTCGAAAATATAATGTAACAATATGTTGGGAGCTTTTTTTGTATCCAAGTAGTGTGTGCAAATAACCATCTCAATAGTGCTGCTTATTATATTCCATCTACAAATACTGTAATCGAAATGTTTAGCTTTTATGATTCGGTGATTTTAGCTTCTATGCATGACGTTTCCCCGATTCCGGTTCCGATCTGCAGATAAATATTAGAGCTACGTATAAATAAAGAGGATACATTTTTTATCCTTTATTCGAATCTGCATTCATTCAGCTCGAATTTGTATGCAGATCGGCAGCACACATATTATGTTTGTAGTTTATATTATGCATTCCTATACGTATTAATTTTTAATTGTTACTAAAATATGATAAAACGCAAAGATATATTGTTTTTGAATGGTTTTATTTATTTGTTTAATTTTTTCTGGTGAAACTCAGTTCAGCCAGATTTATTGGTGACCTTGATCTTCCGTGTAACTTTGTACTTTAGATTCCTAATGGTGACCTTCTTCACGTTTCCCGCTTTCTTGGTGGTTTGTGGGGCGGCTGTAGGGGCAACCGTTGTCACAGGTGCCACTGTGGTTGTCGTTGTTGTGGTCGTTGTCGTTGTCGTGGTGGTGACACATTCTGCGTTGGTGGGATCGGTGGTGCAGTCAATGCAGGCGGTATCCGTGGGATCCACATCGCAGGTCACAGCCACAGCGCCACCCAGGCAGTACAGGAAGGCGGCAATCAGGAAAATAAACTTTTTAGCCTGCATTTTGGTAATTTAACTATATGATTCAGTTGCCTAATTCGCAATATAATGTTCTGTCATCATCAGCCGTATTTATACAGATATAGACTTGGCGAAATTTCGGTTTGTTTAATCAGTTGGATTTTTGCGCGTATGGAATTGGCAATAGACGTATGTCGAACTGTTGACTGTCTTTATGAATGCAATGTTTAAATAGCAAATAATTCAGATTAATAGACAACGCAATTCAAAACAAAAACAACAATTTTGCAATCAAATCATATGAATCATGGTATTTCATGAAAGGGACTTTGGTTTACTATCAGCGTATTTCATTATTTTTTGGAACCTGTTAATATATGGATATATGTATGTTATTATGTTTATATACATACATATACATACATATACATACATACATACCGTATAAAACGCTTTCGTCTGAGAGAAAGTTCTTTGAAGTGACTTGAATAAAAGGAACATTAGAATTAGATTTACGAACACAAATGTATCCAATATATTATGTATTAGACAAAATCTAAGAGATCAAAATGGCTGTGAATACTGTAAACCTCAAAAAGAATTGCTTTTTAAAAATAATCCAATATAAATTTAAAGTGTAATTTTAAAGGAAATTAATGTTTTATAATATAAGGAGAAGAAAAAAAAAGAAATTATTTCAAATAAAGGCGCGTATTTTAGTGCTCGTTCAATATATCGATATTTTTCTTAGATCGTCAGAGCGTCTGACAGAGAATTTATCTGACCGTTAAATGAAAAATTAAAATACAAATTTGCAAAATATACGGGCATAAGGTATAAATTTCCAATAAAAACGAGGATTGATAATAATCCAAACTGATTCTTCAATCGGATTAAATTATTGCTTCAGTGTTCAAAATCTTTGCAAGCCAGTAATTTCAAATAGAACATAAACATTACAGAATATGATCTAAGCTACGGTATATTTCGGTATATTTTTAAAATTAAATGGTGTATTTAGGTATATTTCGGAGGGTCTGACGGTATTTTGATCGATAGTGCAAGGTCACACTGAGTGAAAGAACAAAAATGGCAATTCCTCTTTCTGCGGTCGTTCGTGGGCATTTTGCGAGAAAACTTTTCGCCGCATTTAAAAACCGCCTCATTGAATTATGCGAACTGCGTGAAACTCCGATAAAAGGTAAAGAATTGGATCTCCGGAGGCTGTTTGACCTGACATAGCTTTAACCTCAAAAAGACACGGACAACCTTAACCAAAAACAGAAAATTAAATATTATTGAGTGTCGGAGTGTGGAAGAATATCGGGCGTGACAGTGATGTAACCGCGACGGGGCCATCTATGGCGACAAATAGTGGTCGGTTTTTTTTATGCCAACGATAAATTGCACTCCACTCAAGTGTTTGTTTATGTTTACGCCGAGCTTGAGGTTATGTGCAACAGTCTGGAAAATAAATAAAACGCCGACTTAACCTCATTTATGTCCAAATTGGATTATAAGTTGGAATATTTCTTACGTGGGCCGCGTATCAAAACGGGCCAGGTCTGCTGGCGCCATGTGTCTGAGCGGGATGACTAGTGTGCGCGTTGGTTGGAAGTCAGTGCTGCGAACTAAGGCCATAAAAAGGCTAGATTATTCCAATGATATACTTTGTTTAAAATTTAATGAAAAATGTGGAAAAGTTCTTCAACCTTATAAGCTTAAAATATTATATTAATCAGTTAGACTTGCGTATTACAAGTTCTAGCCTAGTAAATGCAATTAGCTTGAGTTCGTTTGTTTGTACAAGCCCGATCTAGCTTGGTTGGGACGGGAATAGTCAGCACTGCTGGACACTGTGAGGCGTTGCCGATAGACTGCGCAGACCACAACAAATAAATCCATATACATTAAATTGATAAAAGCTTCGTAATTGTGTCCAAAAAGTAATACATCGGGCATTTGTTTAAGTTTATGTTGCTCGTAGTTATCAAGTTGGGTTGTGTTCGCTTTATTTTTGTCACTCTTAATGGCCATCAACCGTCTGGCAACGCCCGTTTTTTGCTCTCTCCGTCTCCCACGGTCTTCTTCTTGAGCACATGTGCCAGCCAATTGTTGCTCCCTCCCGGAATTTTGTGAAGAAATTTTCGTCTGCTTTTGTTTACGTGCGTGAAAATTAGCAACAAATTGTCTTGCAGGGCAACTGAGTAATGAACCACCAGAACTATGGCGGCATCCAATGGATACAGCAACACCCCACCGCAGCCGACTCTGGGGTGGATATACTGGTGGGAGACGGCGATGATGGTGAGACGCCGGACGGGTATCTCGTGACCGATGGAACGACGGGCGAGGATCTTGACCATATGGCGGCCGAAAATCTCATATTCATGGCCCGCGACGGTCAGCTGAGTGAAATCATAACTGGCGGTAACGCTGTGATAGTCACTGCCGATGGCCACACTGTGGCGTACGCCGAGTCCTTTGACGATGACGCCCAGGTGGTCACTGAGGAGGTCATCACGGACGACTGGGTGCAGCATCAGGGAGCCGAGCGGTGAGTTTAGCAGATTTGCGCCAAATTATCGAAATAAATCAATGAATGTTTTTAGTGTGGAAATCGCCGCGGAGCAAATAGCTGGAAATGGCAGCTCGCAGGAGCTGTTAGACATGGAGCAGGACGAGTACACGGCCCTTCGACCGTACCCCTGTGACTTTTGCAGTCGTCGGTTTAAGAAAAAGTCCAGCCTCAACACCCATATGCTGGCCCACCAGAACGATCGTCCTCATCTCTGCAAGCTGTGCGGGTCACGCTTCTCTCGCCGAGCCGAGCTCATCAGTCATTTCAAGGCTCACGCCGAGGCTCAGGATGCTGCCGATGCCGAGGCAGCGGCGGCCACATCTATTAAATTCGAGCACCGGCCAATGGAGGATCATTACTATGAGCCCGAATGGCCGTTATACCAGCAGGAGCAGGTTTCCGAGCATCAGCAGCAGCTGGTATCCAGCAGCGAAGCTCAACTGATGCACCAGGATAGCTACAACGTTGCTGCAGTTACTGTCGATGCTCCTATGCCGACGCGAGGAAGAATCAGTCGCCTGAAGCCAAAGGAGGAGGCCACACAGTACATTGTGATTTCCGATAAGACGGAAGCGCCCGAGTTGCAGGATTATATGCAAAGCGAGTCCATGCAGACGGTGGTCACAACCTCGACCCCGATCGAACCCCAGCCTAGAGCTGATCTTCCGCAGCCGAACTATCCAGTGCTGGACGACAGCAAGCCGTTCGTGTGTCAGCAATGCGGCTTGGCCTTTGCCAGAGAGAAAGCGCTCTTCTCTCACACAAAGGTAAGCGTAAAGGTTGAGCTACCTACATACCTGAGACGGTTCCCTAGAAACCAGTTTGATCTTCCCTTATTATTGTACCAACCACCAGAACCATCGCGTGGACTCGCCCTTCGAGTGTAACCAGTGCCAGGAGATGTTCTGGGACAATGGCAGTCTACTGGAGCATCAGAAGACGCATCAGTTCGAGGAGAGCAACTCTGAGTACGATCCAGCCTCGGGGGACGACAGTGCCAGCGAATCGGACACGGAACAGCTCTATGGCGACTTTCACTGCCCCGAATGCGGCATTTCATTTCACAGACAGGACCTGCTGCGACGACACACGAAATGCCATTACCCGCAGCCAGAGGCAAGTAACGGAGACCAAATGCCCCATGGGGGAGAGGAAGGAATCAACGATGATGCGATGGCTGGTGATGCCGAAAATGCCAAAGACGATACTCCCCACCGATGTCAGACGTGCGGCAAGTGTTTTCCCAATGCCGTTGCGTTAAATGCCCATGCCGAAATTCACGCCCGTTTCCCGCCCTTTAAGTAAGTACAATCGATGGTAGATAGCCACAAAAATATATTCTATCGTTTTGGTACATATTTTTAGGTGCGTCTTGTGCGGCGTCAGCTTCTTTGAAGAGCAGGCCATTAAGCGGCATCTGCACACGCGTCATCCGCACGAGCTGAAAGCCAACTCGTGTGTGCTGTGTGGAAAGGAGTGCCGGGATCGTAAGGCTCTCATCAAGCATGCCTGGGACCACTCGCGTGAGAAGTGTCACTCGTGCTCCAAGTGCGGTAAGAACTTCCACAATAAGGCGCGTCTGAAGCGGCACATGGCCTCGCATAGGGACAAGTCAGTGGTGTGTGAGGTCTGCCAGGAGGAGTTCCCCGACGGACGGACGCTATCCAATCATCGCCACTCCCACAGCACCACCTCGCCGGGCAAACTCTTCCCGTGTCATGAGTGTGGCAAGACCTTTGGTTCGCGCAGCTCCCAGCAGATTCACGTACGCATCCACACGGGCGAGCGTCCATACGGTTGTCGTTACTGCTGGAAGGCCTTTGCCGACGGCGGCACTTTGCGCAAGCACGAGCGCATCCACACGGGCGAGAAGCCCTACGCCTGCTCCGTATGTCCGCGTGCCTTTAACCAGCGAGTGGTGCTCCGGGAGCACATACGCTCCCATCACTCCGGCATGGATGTAACGCTGGGCACTTACCACTGCGAAGTTTGCTCCGAGGATCTGTCCTCGTCCAATGAGCTCATCCAGCATCTTATCAAGCACAGCGACACGAACACCGCGAAACAGCGTCAGCCAGTCGTAAGTTAACCATGTCCTCAAGGGATCTTCTTTAGACTCTTTTAAAACCGCATATTTTTATTTTTTAGACTGGACCAAGGAAGTACAAGCGCAGGCGCAAGCTGCAGCCCCATGAGATTGCCCACATGCGAGCCACAAAGGAAGATGAGATCTTGCAGGCCGAAGAGTATACCAGTGACCTAGACATCTGCGACTTTGATGTGGAGAACGCGAACCAAATCTTTGAAATGGCCGAATCCACGAAAAAGGATAAGCGCAAAAAGGGCGGCGCAGCCAAGGAACCGAAAGCAGCTGCCAATGGAACGGCCAAGGCTATCGACGATAAGTCGAAAATGCGTTATGATTCCACCAGCAGTCAGTCGGATCGCATGTGGGAGGAAAAGTTCCTGAACGACAGCCAAGTGTCGTTGTTTCAAATTGACTCGTTATCGACTATAAATCAACAACAATCACCGCTGCCAGCCAGCACCGCCAGTTCCTCCAGCGTGCCGAAGACGCGACGCAGTGCCAAGAAGCCGGCAGCCCAAGTGCAGGCCAAGACGGCGACACCAGTGGAGGTAAAACCGAACCCCAGTGCTTCATCGTCCTCTACGACTGTGAGTACGAGCAGCCGCAGCCGAAAGAAGGCGGGAACAAGCAAGGCCGCCACTGGCAAGTCAGCTGCTGCCGGAAGTTCGAGACCGAGAATGATCCACACCGAAAAGGCTAAGGCGCCCAAAGCTGCAGAAAGCTCAGGCACTGCATCCGGATCCAACAAGAAGACGCGTGGCAAGAGCTACATCACCCGGACAGAGACCAGCAATCTCGATCTCCTTTCAAGCAGCGGCAGCTCAAAGTCGAGAGCCACTGCCTCCAATATTGTTGACGACTATGAGATAATTTCCCCAGCCACGCATCCACCCAACCAGATCAGCTCCAGTCCGCTGCACATTAAGCAGGAGCAAGAGCAGCAGCGCGTTCCGATGATGTACGACGACAGTCTGCTCATCGATGCCGCCCTGCTGCGCGAGAAGACATACGAGCGGTTCAATCCCAGTATAGTAAACGATCTGGAGGAGATTCTGCGCTCCCCGCTTAAGAGTGAGCGCAATTCTCGACTGCGTTTCACTAGCGAGTCATCGACAACGCCGCAGTTTCTGCCCAGTGAGGAGCAGAACCTCATCAAGATCGAGCCAACATCTCCCGATCTGCGGGAAATGGTTGAGAGTCAGCAACGCGTCACGGCTACTACTGGCAACACCCCCTCATCCTCGTCGTCGTCGGCCCGAACCTCGCGTCACCTGCGCCAGATCACTGCCAACAGTCCGCGCGTCGGGAGTAAACGTTCCAGCAGCAGTCGGACGGACCCTGCCTCCGGTGTGGCAGCCAAGAAGCACGCCACATCCTCCTCCTCTTCCTCGGTGGCGGCTGGGAGCAAGACAAGGAGCTCTGAACACTCGTACCTCAGCTACGGCGTGGGCGTGGACTCCTACAATGTGAATGTACCTGCCAGCGCCAACACTGCCGATGTGAGCTCTGCATTCTTTTCCATTTCCGAAGTGGTCTCCGCCGCAGACGCAGCCGATGCTGCAGCCAAGGCAGCCGCGGCCAGCAAGCCGGACCGCAAGAAGCGCAGCTTCGAATGCGAGATGTGCTCGGCCATCTTCTACGATCGCGCACAGCTGCTGGACCACGTCCACATCCACATATAGGTCTCCGAACTACTAACCTGCCTCTCCCCAAAATGAGCTTCTCTTTTCGCTTTACTAAACTGTTTTTCCCTGGGACAATCAGCGGGAACACTCGGATGGCTTTTGAAATTATTATTATGACATATTGTGACTTGTAATCCATTTATTTGATCTATATCTTTGACTTGTCCCCACATTTCCCAGAGGGAAGCCCTATGTATTCTTTGAAATCGATGTTCCAAAATAATGTTTTCAATTAATGCTATCTGGACGCAGCCAATGCTGAAGCCGAGGCAGCCGCGGCCAGCAAGCCGGACCGCAAGAAGCGCAGCTTCGAATGCGAGATGTGCTCTGCCTGCCACATTCTACGATTTCACACAGCTGCTGGACCACGTCCACATCCACATATAGGTCTCCTAACTACTAACTACTAACTGGATGGTTACTTCAGATCGTTGTACCATTGAGAAACGACCGACACATCAAAAGATCGTTGACTCGTGCGTTAATTAAACGAAACATTTCTCTTATTTAGAGAGCCCTTAGATCGTAAGACTTTTAAGTTTGTACCTCAGCCTTTGCTTTAAAGAATTGGTATGCTGGAATCAATAAAATAATTGGCTTTTTATTTGCCTAAAGTGTTTGTTGTTCTGTTTTTCGGGAAATCGTTCGATCGCGTAGCTTCTTTCCCAGAAATCGATTCATGTTTTGTAAGGGTTTTGTAATCAAGCAAATCTTAAGTTGCATATTGGTAAGCACGTGCTATAAAATGGGGTATGATTGGTACTAACTCATCAGTTTTCAAATAGTTTGAACGGCATCCAATTCCTCTATTGGTTGGGCCTGATGATCATGAGCTCTGCTGCTTTCCCCACGGATGCTGATGATAATAGGAATTATTCATGGGTTCCCGAGACGGCCATTGAAGTTTTACACGCAGGTCTGGACCATCTGGCAAACAGAGGTAGTCCCAGATACAAGTGAGTTGATTCAGACGGAGAGTTCCCAGTGGAGTTCTATTACCATGTGTATCTTCTCATTTTAGAGTTGTAAATGGTTCGCATGTGCAGAAGGAAATTGTGCTTTTAACTCGCTATACGTACAAGGCAGAATTGGAGATCGAATCGGAGAAGGAGTGCACTGTCCAAATCGAGACAACTCCATGGATCATCCTGAACATCGATAAACGTTGCAACAATGATAGTGTGGATATTCGATAGTCATTTATTTATTTTGCACTCACATAATGGCTTTTTGTTAAAATAATAGAAATATATTGATCTCTCGACCTGATTTACAAGTTGCTAAGCTGAAAAATTCGCTGTTAATATTTAGGTACTAGGATTTTCTCAGCCATTACTGATTACCACAAATGATGTCTAGGTACTTAGGTGATTTTCCTTCAGGCATATGTTTTATGGCTGTTTAGTGTTTATGATGCAGTTACCTAAAACCCTGTTCATTCTGGACTAATGCAAATCCTCGAAGAGTATTGAACTGTTGTGAAGACTTTTCTCAGCTAGATTTTTAGAGACATAATGAGTACTTCCCCTACTATCATTGGCTAATCAGTTCTTGTTTTGTTTACAAGAGAAAACAAACAATAATCTGTTCGATTTACTTCACGAGAAACCTCACTCTCCGTATTGATATTGATAACTGAACATACAAGTATCTATATATGTACATAGAAATACAAGAGAAATCGTCGGGCATCTGCTGTACTCTGGTGTATACAAAAACTGTACTCAGTTACAGAACAACAAGTAAACTCAGAATAAATAAAGTGTGGGAGCAATCAACTACGTAGAAATAATACTATGAGAGATCTCTGATACTTCAGAGCCCACTAGGCGACACTTTACACAACCAATGTTCTGTATTTCTCTATACGCAATATTTTTCATTGTGCCCTCCCACAGGTAATACAAATGTAGCCCTCCCTCGTATAAAATGGGCCACGCTTGCCGACAGAATGATCAGTTTTCTCTCACCCGTCGAGCTGTACACATCGTAACGAAATCTGAAATATGAACGGACTGAAAATGCTTACTCTATTGGGCCTGATGGTCGTGGGTTCTGGTGCCTTGGGTTCAGCCGATGAGGCACCCATTGTTGGCGGCGTCACACAATTGAGCGGAGAGAGGAAAGAGCAGGCCCTTACACTGCTGGATACCACCTTGTCGCAGCTCGCAACTGGAGATGGACCCACCTACAAGTGAGATTAATGGATTTTAATTGAATTCTATAGCTGGAATATCTGTCCACTTTCAGAGCTGTTAATGTGACCTCTGTGTCGAGCCAAGTTGTGGCTGGTACTCTCTATACGTACCAGGTGGAGCTGGACAATGGAACTGATAAGAAGGACTGCACCGTCAAGATCTGGACCCAGCCGTGGCTCAAGGAGAACGGTACCAACATTAAGATCAAGTGCGAGGGCGATGATGGTGAGCTGGATCGCACTTGGTAGGTCAAAAGAGTTTTCCCTCCAGTCTTTGCCTTTACCTGTACCTGAGACTGGATAATTACTAAAAATAAACAAAGGTAATCCAAACCAATTACTTTTTTGTGGTCTCAATAAAGTGGAAGCCACCCATCTTTGACCTGATTCAGGGGCACGTCTATCCAGCTACATATGTATATATATTTGCACATCATCCATAGTTCTACGTGAATTCATTATAGAGTAACCAGTTCGAATTGAAAACCAGTTTGCTTCTGTGTATAATGCGTATATACGTATTCCATGGCAGATCTCTCTCGCTATTTTTGCCGTTTCTTCTCTCAACTCTTGATTATAATAATTTCAAGCTGACGCCCTGCATCATCACAACTACAAGTTACAATATGGTGTTGCTCTCTCCAGAGTGATATCATTTACCAAATTGAACAGACTTTTGTTTGCACTTCAGTCGCAATGATAAAGGCAATTAATTATGTTTGGGTGCATAGATATTGTAACTTATTAATTGTGCTTCATTTTGATAAGAGCAGACATGGGGACCTCGTTAATGATAAGCGATAAATATCTCGCACATATGAATGTACATTCCTCGATATCGGATGTACGCGGACGGGGAAGTACGCCTACGCACAATCATTCGTATTTTGTATATAAATTATGAATTTATTCGCAAAAGAAGTTGAATTTAATTATCCAAAGTTTCCTTATCAAAAATGAATGTCAGAGCCCAAGCACAACCCCTGGTTGATAATGATTTGCCAGAGGTTGCTTGTCGTTAAATAAATATGTACATATGTACATTTCAGTTGATAATATTTGTACATATAGAATGCCCCAAGAGCACAATGAAAGAATGAATCTTCAAGCCATGATTATGAAAGCTGAACTTAAAATAGCAATAATAGGCGATTAGCACTAGAAAATATCCAGGCATTGAGCAAACTTCTCATTCTACGGTTCCTCTCGCTCTATACATATAAACTCATTTGAGTAGTGCATACATTATACATAAGAGTGTGTAAATGTTCTTTGTTCGCCTCGAACGACTCTGCTTTGTTGACACAAAGACACATTTAAATAAAGATTTCTGTCTGCCATCGGTCGGGCTGTTGATGAATCGATTCTCCGCCAGAACTCCTGACCTGGGCAAACAAATCAAAATCAAACAATCAAATAACGCATGCCATGCCAAATTAGCAAAGTAAATTAATTCGAGTATTAAATAAAGTTTTTCAAAAGTGCACATCTCTCTCTCTCTCTCTCTCTCTCTGGTTTCTTTATTTATTAGGTTGATCATCAATATTCCAAATGCTGTTTGACTCTAGAAAATAAAGAATCATTCTAGTTTTGTTCTCTGACGGCTTCAGGTGTCGGCTCTCTGTCTCTATAAAAGCAACCTCTCGTCACTCGGCGAATTCATTGTGGAGCTACTGTCCGAGACATACGAATATGCAAGCCATGAATGTGATCTTTGTGCTGGGCCTTGGCCTGGCTGTTGTCTCCGCCGGCGTAAGTTCGGGAATAGATCTTCCTTCTAAAAAGATTGCATCATTGATTTGTTTTGTCCGTAGCTTGTCGGTGCACCGAGGCCCCTCGACGGCGATGATCTCAAGGAGGCCGAGCAGCAATTGAGCACTGCGCTGTCCAAGCTGGCCACCGGCGATGGACCCAGCTACGAGTGAGTGCTGAACACGTTTATAATGATTACTTTTACAATGTGCTTTGTCCATTTTAGACTGGTTAATCTGATATCGGTGACCTCTCAAGTGGTTGCTGGCACTCTGCGCACCTTTAAGGTGGAACTCTCCGATGGAGCGGACAAGAAGCAGTGCACCGTCAAGATCTGGTCACAGCCATGGCTCGAGGAGAAGGGCACCGGCACCAACATCAAGGTTCAGTGTGAGGGCGACGAAGCCGAGCTGGATCGCACCTGGTAGACAGACCTATTGATCATCCCATAGATATCTGGTTTTATGAGTGTTTTATATTGGAAACTTGTTCTTCCAATAAATTAATGTTCATAGTACGAGTATGAAAAGAAAAAAATAGATATTTAAAGTCTCAGAGACTTTAGTCTCTTAAATGGTTTCCCTGTTTCCATCTGATCCATATAGACATGGTATTATATGCAATCTGGTTAACCGTGGTGGCAGTTTATTCAATCTGTATGCAGGCATTTGAAATTCAAACTTCTAACCTCTCCTGCCGCTCCTCCTTGCCGCCCGCCTTCTGGCTGCTCTCCTCCTCTCGGCCCTCTCGGCCCTCTGGCGACGACGACGACGACGTGCAGCAGCCCTCCTCCTCCTTCTCCGGGCGGCTTTTTGGCTGTTGCCTCTGCTGCTACTGCTGCTGCTACTGCTGGCAACCGTGGTGGCAGCACTGATGTCACTGGGTGTGGCAACGGTTGTTGCAACACCTGCAGGAGCAACAGTTGTGGTCACGCCGGAAGGTGCCACAGTGGTGGTGATACCAGTGGAGGCTGCCGTGGTGGTCGGGACACCAGTCGGTGCGGATGTAGCAGCGCTCTGCCTTGCGAGGCAAACGACCAGGAGGACACAGCCGAGGATAAGTGTTTCTGCTCTCATTGTTGCTATCGGTTCAAGTGATTTGTCTTGTATAATGGTTCCAGGGTATTGTGGCCCCGGCTTTTATAGCCATTTCTATTTTTGGTTATAGTTTTCTATTTCTATAAAATCCATTGACGACGCCATACACCTGTGCTAACAAATCCATGGAAAAATACCACCCCCTTCTAAAAAGATCTATGATTATGTCTCGCCGCAAAATAGCTTGAGCATACGAACGGCGGAATCTTTTCCAATACGCAAGTGAAGCTGGAGAAGCATTTCTGGGTCGAAACCTTCGACGTAGCGACAGAAAGCTGACAGATGCGAGACGAAAAGATCTTCCGGCGGAGATATTTCGGATATGTATGTGTACTGACTGATATGTGTTTTGTTCCCTCGCGATGCATCGACCAATGTCCACTTTTAATTTTATAAATATAAATAAATAGATTTTCCATAGCAAGTACTAGTATTGGGACACTCTGCACTTTCAAACAAGCTAAGTATATTTTTTGAATATCCCTCTGAAAATTTAAATATTGTGAAGCATATCTTTAGGCGCATTTTGCATGTAACATTCATGTAAAAGTCACGTAGAATGGAGTTAGGGTGCTAGCTAATACAAATAATGTATGTGAATTTTTTTCGGAATAAAGTAGAATAAATTTGACTATTTATAAACAGAGGAACACTCCCTCAATTGAGGTTGAAAGAACTTGGATAGATTCAATAATAGATAACAGTGGTCGCTTTAGATGGACTAGAATGAAAGCCAAAGAGTTTGACATTTGTTGTGCCGACCGTATAATTCACAGGTATGTATCTTCCATATGAATCTAAACGTTTGGCTGTACAATTCCTTTAATGTTTGGAAGTTTTATATAACAAACGAAAAGGGACGTGTGAGACGCTTCTTACGCGTCAGAACTTTTATACCCGGCACTCAGGACTACATCGCCAACCACTAGATATCGTTCACATTACAGAACACGTAGTAAAAAGCCTACTAAATAAAATGCATCAAAAAAATTGGATCAGTTAATCGTATTTTCCAATTTATGAGATATTTAAAACAGCAATAAAATTGGTACTTTTTCCCTGCACATTCTGTGCAATAATGACCGCTAGGTTTCACAGCAGTTTTTTCGAAAGTGGCGCCATCTATGAAAATTTCTGGTACGCAACTTTGATGGTCACTCTTTTTCTAATACAGAGCGTTAAAAACCGAGTCTTGGTTTTAACTTTTAAAAATTAGCTTTCTATAAAGTGAGTGAATGTAATTTGAATCATTTTTGAAATACACTGGTTTCAGTGTGAGCATATGCAGTCTGGATGCAAAATTTGGTGGCTCTAGCTCTTATAGTCTCTGAGAACTAGCCGACAAACAAGACGGACAGACGGACATGGCTCTATCGACTCGTCTATTGATGCTGATCAAGAATATATATACTTTATGGGGTCGGAAACGTTTCCTTCTGTGCGTTACATACAACCGTTATGCCCCAGAAATACAATATACCCTATTTACTCTTCGAGTACCGGGTATAAAAATCAACTTGAAAGTGAGCATTCATATATGGATTGGCATCTATTGTCAGATCGTAAGCTCAAAGTACAGCTTTCAGCTGTTAATTTAAAGATTGTGATAATTATTTTTGAACTTTGAAACATTTTATTGCCCTTTGTTAATATCTGAATGTAGTTACATAGATGGAAATGTCTAGCCGACAATCACACGGACATTACCGTTGCGACGCCTATTCCTCACATTGACGCGTCTTTGGTTGCGATTGCGGTTGGTATTGCGGTTGGTATTGCGGTTGGTATTGCGGTTGGTGGTGCGGCGGGTGGTGCCACTCCTATTGACCCGGATGCGACGAACGGCGGTGTACCGTAGATTGCTGACCCTGACGATCTTGCGCCTGCCGCCCGTGCTAGTGGTTGCCGCCGTAGTCGTTGTTGTGGAGGTCGTGTCAGTTGCCAATGTAGTCGCGGCTAAAGTTGTTACCGGAGCCAGAGTGGTTGTGACGACAGGAGTTGCTTCTGCCACGCACTCGGGATCGGTGGGACTGGTGGCACAGTCAATGCATCCAGTCACAGTGGGGTCCGCGGTACAAGTGACTGCCTCACTGCTCCTCGGCAGACAGACGAACAGGACGATGGCCCAAGCGAAGATGTTGGCGTTGACTTTCATGGTGCGGTGGTGATTGTTGGATATGTCGGATTTTACCAGTGTATTCCTTATATAGTCGTTCGATTCTATAGCATCGCATATCAAAAGATTATTGGCAAATTTACGCAGCTGTTTCTAACAAATTTTTGTTTTTTTCTCCAATTATTTGCAAAGAATTCGCCAACGATTGGCAGATACAAAAAAAACACATACCATTATTACGGGAATGTGCGTGTAGTTGAAAAGAGATGTGGAAGATGATATTGAATATGTTAAGAGAGAGAGAGAGAGAGAGAGTTCATGGGTTTTTTGTTTGGTGTCACCTTGACAATATTCCAATATGACTTGCCGATCGTCCAGATGTTCATCAATAAGTCGAAAAAGGCCAAAAGACTGTGAAGGCTGAAGATGTTTCCTATTTGCTCTAGGGTAATTGATGGACCGTGATAAATATTGCATTGTTTAAAGCATCATATCATATTTTGATAACTGTCCTGAAAAACGTTCAATGCGAGGGAGTGCCCAAAGATCCTTAAATAAATAGACAATCTAGACAAAGTCAGTCACTAAGAATCTTAGACAACGTAGTTGTTCAGTTTTTGTGTTCGAGCCAATTGATCGTCAAATCGCCAAATATTATTTCCATAAAGTATAATTCGTACCCCTACGTAAATACTCGTATATGGCAGGGCAAATAACTATCAGATTTTTAAATGGGACTTAAACTGCTTCAGAGTAAAAGGTCTCTTCTGTACTTTTTTTGTTGTATTATTTTTAATATCCGGATTAGTCTCAGATCCAATTTAAAGGATACGAAACTCACATTTAATTCACAGATATTGTATGTACATACATATGTAAAAGAAAAAAATAAAGATGGCTCTTGAGAACCAGGGTTTTATCTTTACTACTACTTTCTACAACACACGAAGCAATGTTGTTTGTTTTAAATATTGTGTGATTTTGATATGAACTTTACTAAATTTAGGGGTAGTCTCTGAAAGAATATGTTGCTCCAAATTCTCCGCTTTTTACTTATTCAGACTTTCTGCAAACATATTGAAAAATATTAATGTAGATCGCGACATATTAATCCTACTGCAATAATTTTGGCTATAGAAGAATAATCCAGACCCAAAATACTAAGGTTCCCTTAGTTCCCTTTCTCCCTTAGATTGCTTAGATTTGTGCCGTCTACATATGGAAATGTATGTATGGAAACATGTAAATTTAATATTAAAACCAAATCAAAGCAGATTGTCAGTTATAGTTATAACTATAGCCTAACTTATTTCATTCCCTGAAACATTTATGAAAAATTAACAATAAAGTTGAAAGCGTATTTCTGCCAACCCATTGCACTATGGGGCATTTGACCACTTTTTGTGGCATTAATTAATAACTTCCAAACGAAACAATATTTTTTGATTTAGTTTTTTGATATGAGTCTATAATATTGAAAGGAAGGTTTGTTGAAAAAATGGGTATGCCACCGCCTTTTCTTCAGGGTAAAATCGAATTTTTATTTTATCATACCCGGTACTCAAAGAGTAAATAGGGTGTATTGTATTTGTGCGAATAACGGTTGTATGTGACGCACAGAAGGAAGCGTTTCCGACCCCATAAAGTATATATATTCTTGATCAGCATCAATAGCCGAGTCGATAGAGCCATGTCTGTCTGTCCGTCTGTCCGTCTTGGTTGTCGGCTCGTTCTCAGAGACTTTAAAAGCTAGAGCCACCAAATTTTGGCTCCAGACTGCTGTATGCTCACACTGAAAGCAGTGTATTTCACAAATGAGCCACGCCCCCTTCCGCCCCCGCAAAACTAAAAACGCCATTCCGTAGGAAATGGCCATATCTATCAGATCACCAAATTGGGATCCGATCGGATCATTAATTTCCAGTGGCTAAACCCACCCTGTCCCGCAGCTTTTGTTGCTCTTTTTACATTCTCTCATTCACACTCTGCTTCTGCTTCACTCGGCCCCTGCCTCTGCCCTCCCCCTGGCGTTGACTCTTCCGACTTTTAACCAAGACTCGGTTTTCAACGCTAGATGGCGCCACTTTCGAAAAATTTGCTGTGAAACCTATCGGTCCAAGAATGTACCAATTTTATTTGCTGTTTTAAATATCTCATAATTGGAAAATATTAACTGATCCAATTTGTTTGATGTATTTTATTTAGTAGGCTTTTTACTACGTGTTCTGTAATGTGAACGATATCTAGTGGTTGGCGATGTCTTCTACATCTAGATGTAGTCCTGAGTGCCGGGTATAAAAGTTGTGACGCGTAAAAAGCGTCTCACACGTCCCTTCTCGTTTTTAAATTGAATCAAACAAAACATTACAAACATTACATTATAGTCGTTCGATTCTAAAAGATTCACGTGTCTATAGATCATTGGCTAATTTGCAAAACGGTTACTAATACTTTTTTTTTGAGAATTGTCAACCAGTGCGATACTTCGAATGTGTTAAAGACATTTTAGTTAATTTGTTTTAAGAGAGAATTTGTGGATACCAAAGCTCTATGGTTGTAGGTTATGCATCAATTTCAGACACACACATATACGAAAATAATGAGTTCAAGCAGAGTGTATCTAGCGTCAGGCATTACATAATAGAATATCTCAACTGGTTGTTCGAAGGAAGGTTTTTACTTTGGAAATTAATAGTTCGTTTCTGCTCTGAAGCGATTGTATCAGTGTTAAATGATAAGGTTAAAACAAACTCTTTGTTAGGTATGCAATATGTCGGTTTATTTGAGGTGTATCCTGGGACAAGGGTATCTAAAATCTAACCTCTCCTGTTGTTCCTCCTGTTGTTCCTCCTGTTGTTCCTCCTGGCTGCGCGCCTCCTCGCTGCCCTCCTCCTCCTCCTTGCCCTCTGGCGACGACGACGACGTGCAGCAGCCCTCCTCCTCCGGGCGGCGGCCCCGCTGTTGGAGCTGCTGCTGCTCTCTGTGGTAGCGGTGTCAACGGTAGCTGCGGTGGTCTCAGAACCTCCGGCAGTGGCAGCAGTTGTGACGCCCCCAGCAGGGACAGTTGTAACCGGAGCCACAGAGGTTGTGAGGACAGGAGTTGCTTCTGCCACGCACTCGGGATCGGTGGGACTGGTGGCACAGTCAATGCATCCAGTCACAGTGGGGTCCGCGGTACAAGTGACTGCCTCACTGCTCCTCAGCAGACAGGCCAACAGGACGATGGCCCAGGCGAAGATGGTTGTCTTGATCCTCATTGTACTAAGTCAACTGTACGATTGATGTCTGTACCACAAGATGGAATACCTTTTATAGTGATTCGAATTCAAACTAGATGGCATATCCAAAGATTATTGTTAAATTTGCTCAGCTGCTCCTACCGAATTGTACTTTTATCGATTATTTTCACAGAGTTCACTAAATATTGGCAGATCAAAACATGTGTACAAGTTTTTAGAAGTACTTTTATTATATAAATATTGTCCAAAGAGAATCGCCTCTATTTCCAAATACATATTAAGAGAGCTTTGCTGGATAAGCTTCTGCGACAAAGCTGGTTTATGGGCCAGATGTTCAACTCAAACAACCTTCTCATGCTGTGAGGGCCGATTATTTGTATTTGGTACTTAAAAAACTAATAACAATACTGCAAAAGCCCTGACAGTCAATGACAATCTGTATAGTAACTAGTTTTCTAGAGAATCAGTTTGGTAGCCAAGAGTTTTAGAAAATTTAACGATTCAGATGCGTTCTAAGCTTCGACTGCTTCAATAAAAAGATAAAGAGATGTTCGAGAAAATACTTATTTTTATTGAAATAACCACGAGAGAGAATAGAGTCATGACTGGAGAATTAGTTCATCAATAACATTGTCCCCCTCGCAATGAATATTAATATCATTATCGTTCACCTCGGAAAATGGCTGGATCTCAATATGGACAGTGCTCTCCTTCGTTTCCGTTCCGACCTCCAATTCCGCTTTGTACGTAAGGATAAGTTCATTAAAATGCCGGATGGTACCCTGCTTCACTTTCACAGCTCTAAAAAAAACAAAATACAATAGTTTTAGAGCTCCTCTACGACTTATCCATATCAATTAACTTACTTTTAGCTAGAACCTGCTCCTGTGGTCAGTTTGGCCAGACTCTCGTCTAAAACTCTAATTGCCGTCCTCCTCGAAGCTCCAGTCAATACCCGAGGAGCCCCGGGGCGATAACTTTCATAGCCAGCATCCCTGGGTAAAGCAGCACAGCTCACGACAATCAGGCACAACAGACAGAAGAAGAGCATGCCGTTGATGATAGATGAGAAGAGCCTAAAGTGTGGGGAAGAGTGATGAAATAGTGCCACTCATCGCCCTTTATATATCACTTACTTCTGTGAGGTGGACTCCCTTATCAAAATATTAATAATGTTAGATTTTTGTGGTTGGGTTAGCAGGAAATTGTGATACTGAATAGGAACAGTTTCAATATAATTATAGATTAACCTATGGCTTATAGATCAACATTCTTATCGGGTGATTTCAGAGAATACGAAAACTGGATCAACCAAATGGTGTATCCAGACTCATGTGATAACAAGTTTATTTTACAGCAGATTTTTTAAATTTGCTTAAACTCTCACGCTGACTGGGTATAGGAGAAGGCTGAAAGACTGGGGTTCCAAAGGTTCTCGCTCGTTTGTTTATGTTTTGTAAAATCGATTGATAAGATTCACAAAAATAAATTGAATTTTTCTAGAGAATCATTTTTTTACTTCAGAGTAAACGTATTATAATTCGTTTGCCGTTCTTGGAATTCCTTCTTTGTTGTAAGCAATAAATAGTATGATTAAAAATGAATAGGATTAACTATTTAAACAAAAGTATATCTGTACATAGATACGATATATCTGAAATCATGTAAGTCTGTAATTTCCATGTAATTTCCCTGGAGCTAGATGCAACCTGAAATAATGACACAAAGTTCTACTTATATTACCTGCTGATCTCATCATGTGAACTTTATAACTATATGAACATATGTAAATATTTCCATGCATATATTATTATTGATAAGAAAATTGTATTGGCTATAAAAAGGGATATAGCCGGGTCTTTTCAATCAGTTTTCTCGCATACCTTGAGCTTTTCCCATCTAAAATGAATGGAATCATATTTTTCAGCCTGGCTTTGTGCTGTGCTGCTTTGGCCTCGCCCGAGTCCGCTGTCTGTGCCCCAAAGACATTGTCCGGTGATGCCAGGCAGGTGGCCATTGAGCTGTTAGACACAATGCTAGCCCAATTTACGAGCTATAAGTGAGATGGAACCAGATACTGGAACGATTCATATAGCTCATACATATGATTTATTTTTCCATATTAAGGTCCATTTCCGTGGGATTAGTGTCTGGGGATCTCTTTACCTAAAATGATGTGGAACTGGAAACTGGAACGGAAAAGAAGACCTGCAGAGGAGAATAAGACGAACGTCAAGATCAATTGGCTACTCGGGGATGGCAATGATGAGGTGGATCGCACTTTGTAGATCAAGTTAAAGTTAACCAAAATTGTTTTAAATAAAAAATATTTGATTTGTGGCTTATAAAGACCAAGACTTGATCTGAACGAAATATGACAGATGCATTGCTTTTATAGTCGTATCATCCTGTATCTTTCACTAAAGCTTCCCAAAAGTTATTTGGGCTCTTTTTCTTTGACACTATACACAATGAGTGCAAGTTCATGTTTTATTTGGCCAGACCCAGTTGACCGTGATTATCGTTAGAGTTGAATATACTCTTGATTTTGGAATGATTCAGCGTAGCACGCAAAGTTGTGAAGAACTGGAAGTATCCCCATCTGTGTCATCGGATGCGATGCAAATGGGAAAAGAAATATCTTTCTCTCTTTTCGGACTGTTTTTGTACGCAATGTGGAACTTTATTGAATGCTCACCAATAAAAAAAAGCGTAAAAAAGATCATTGGTTTTGTCGCCTGCGTTTCCTCCATATAGCGGCCCTTTTTCTAGCGGCTCTCCTTCTAATGGCCCTCCATTTGGCCGCTGCCTTTTTTTTTTTGGCTGCATTGCTGCTGGTGTTGCTACTGGACGCTGCGGAGGAGTCAATACTGCTACTGGAGCTGCTACTGGATGCTGATGAGGCTTCCGTTGTAGACGATGGACTCAGAATGGCGGCGGATGTGGTGCTGTTGGAACTTATTTCGGTTGAAGAGGTGGAACTGGAACTTGTCCCAGTTGAACATGTAGAGCTGGAAGAAGTTCCGGTAGCAGCTGTTACCAGGCTGGTTATGCCACAAATAGCCAAAAGGTTCCAACTGCACACCGTTATTGCTTTTAGGTTGGCCATCTCATCTGAACTATAATTCCCACTGCCAGAGGCAACGCTTCTATAGCCCCGAACATGCTGTTTTCACTAGATCTTAATAATTAGGCACAGCATTTTGGCAGCTTGTGTTTTGTTTTCAATCATATCAATATAATCGAATAAATATGAATGCAATTTTATTGCGTTATTATTTGCAATGAAATTTGTGTAGACCGAATGCAAATAAATTGAGTCTTTATGGGCTGCGTTTATTTCTAGAGTTGTATATACTCGTCGCACTCGTGCGAGTATCGTTTGCAGCTTGAAGCGAGTTACAGAAACCCATTTGAATGGTGTACGAATATTGAAAGGGAATTTACAGCTTTGCGTGAGAGTTTTTTTTTTTTTGCCATGCCATGAACATATTTGTTTAGTATTCGAATTGCTTTTTGAATAATTATCATGACGTCACATATTACTCTGAAGCGGAGCGAGAACAATGGACCGACCTAATGAATAATATGGGGGGAGCTTCATATTTTTAAAGCTTTGGCTGCTTCGACCTGCTGACCAGCCGCGTTTAGTCGTTGCTGATCAGCGAACGGATTAGCCATGGAATTGTGGAGATGCCTGGTGCTCTGCCTGGGGATTACATTGATGTCTGATCTGGTGGTAAGTAGATTACATTTTATAATCAGATTAATTAAAAAGACTTTCCTTTTATTTATACATATGACAGATGTCACTATGTGTTCCGCCAATGGACCACTGCATTGAAGATGTGAGTACAGTGCACCACAACTATTATTTGTCACTTAAATTCACTTTAATTACTTCACAGATGGAGCTGGCTGATGCCAAAGAACGCTTCGATTATGTCCTTGCAAAATATGAGGAGCTGGAAATGAAAATTCCCGGCGAGCCAGTTGGGTGAGACACCAATTTGCACGCTTTTCGCACTCCGATTCGCTAATTGCGGCTTTTCCCCTGCGTTCAGGTTGCACGGCAAAGTGGTTACGCGCGGAGAAATCGAGGAGCATCACATTGTGTTCCGGTATATGGACAATACTCCACATGACATCATCCAGACCTGTGCGTTTGTGGTCACCAATGCGCCCGGTCAGTGCGAGACCATTGGGACGTTCTGTTCGGCATTTCTGCCCCGCCTGCCGCGTCCGCTGCTGGCGCGCAAGTCTCTGAATGTCTGCGAGGATGGCGTACATATAGTGGAGCACGAACCGGAACCGGAAGAGGAGGCCGATCCCGAGGAGGAGGATGACCAGCAGAACGATGAAGGGAAGACTGAGGCAGCCACATCTACAGAGGCCACCAAAGTGAATGAGTTTTTGTGATTTCCACAATCGACAATTTCTACTATGCTCTCCCACACTATCGTTTTCCAAGCATCCAAAAAGTATTCTACAATTACTCCTATTCAGTCCTAACATTTCTCTTTGGCTGTTCATTATCATGGCTTTGCAAAGTTTCAGTTAGAGCTCCGCTCCGTACCGACAGCAGCAACCACTATGCGGCTTTATAGTTCGACATCCGAACCAGGCTCCTTAGATGGCGCCTGCGCCTTAACGGAGCACTGTACTGTGGTGTCAGAACTGTCGGGAAATATGTGTCTAATTTGTATCTTTAATTAAAAGAAAACTGTTTCAAAGTGTGCATGTTATTCAAACGATATTGATTTTCATTATGAAACTAATATTGTGAACAAAAACCATGACAAAGTATTCCTTAAGCCATTTCTCCACTCACCATCAACTAGAATCATATCAATTTGAAAGCACTCTAAGCCGCTCTGAAATGCGGGAGAGGAGCCATGGAAAAGCGTTCTCCAGCAGAAGAAAGAGAGAGAAAGCAGAAAGCTTGCACCAAATAACAGTAAACAAAGCCGCATGTCAGCTGCTGCTGCTGCTGCTACTTTCGCTGCTGCTAACTAAGCGCCAACCAAGGCAGCAGCGTTTTAGTTGTTGTTGGGCGCCAAAGCGAACTGGAGCAGCGAAAAAGAAGCGCTGAAAGCAGCAGCAGCAGTAGCAGCCGCCAAAGCGCGTTCAAAGCTCCACAATACGCTGCAGACATACAGACAGATAGCGACAGAGAGACAGAGAGAGAGAGAGAGAGAGAGAGAGAGATAAAGAGAGAAAGAAAGGTAGAGTGAGAGCGCGCCTGCTAGCTTTTTGGCGACAGTGTCCCGCACAGAATTATTCTCTCAGTGCTAAAGTTGTCGTCGCGCTGTGCAAAGCTCGAAGCTCGTGGGTTGTGTTGCGTCGGAAATCGGGCCAGTCACACAGCGCCCGCTCACCGCCCACCGCACACCGCCCTCGTCCAGTGCCACGCCACGCCACGCCACGCAACGCCTTCGCCTACCGCCTGACAAGACGGTGCTTGCGTGAGTGCGTGCGCGTGTTGCCGCCTGTTGTAAAACCCAAAGGAATCCAAAGAAACACAGCCAGTGAAAAAAGTGAATCAAACTGATTTTGCATAATACTCATACTCAAAACCAATCAAAATACAAATCGAATCGAACTGAGAAATCCATCCCAAAATCTGAGCCGCCTAATCAATGTGAGAATCAAATCGTATCAAATGCAAATGGAAAAACTAAATATTCCAACTGGCGCGTAAATAAAATTACGAGTTTAGTATATTCTAGGTACATAATATTATATTAACGTAGTTGTTGTGTTGTCAAGTGCAGTGCAAAGTAATTTGCCTCCGTTGTCGCAACTAATTCGAGTTCCTGCCTCCACCAATCGCCGGCCCCCCCGGAACTGACAGTCAGTGCCCTCCTGGCACCGCCGGCTGTAGCGCCAGCCAGCGCGTGTTATCAGCCCATCAGAGCAACAACGAAACGCGACAAAAACACAGAACTCGGAAAAACAACAAGAGAAGAAGCAAAGTCAAAGTGAATGTGAATGTGAATGCATTGGAACTCAGCGTAAAAGCTCAATGTGAGTGCAAGTGTGAGTGCGAGGTGAGTATTTTAGGGGGCATAAGCGTGAGTGTGTCTGAGTGTTGTGCCTCTGGGCTCTCAGCTGAGTGCTGGGTAAACAATTCAACCAAAAACCAAACACAAATACCCATGCACAGACAACACACAACAAAGAACACAACACACACACACACAGATTCTCACACAGACACACAAATTAGTATCTCGAATGTAAAGCAAAGCGCGGACCGGACCCACATCCCCACCCCCCAAATGTGCGAATTATAAAATATTTTACCCTTGAATGTCATACGAATACGAATACGAGTGTTATTCGCGGGTAGGGAGGGTGAAGTGTAGCGATAGCAGTATTAGCATTCGCGGGGGCAGCGGGGAACCTCACTTTTTAGCAACTTTTTGTTGTTGTTGCCTACCTCTGGGGAACACACACAATACAATATAGCAACAGCATCCCATCCCCATCGACGAAAAGTATAAAATATCCCCTAAACTTTTCTGTGACGTGCAATAGCTAACCCAAATTACTTGGAGTGCTGCCGCCTGCTTTCACGCATTTTCCCGCTTTTCACGTGCGCAATTTTCCTTGGATTGCCCTTTTTCTTGGAGTCCCGCCAGACGGCCTGCCAAAGTGTCTGTGAAATCCATTAGGTTTCTGTTTTTCTTTCTCCTGTTTTTTCAGCATTGACTTTGTCAACGGTTCATTCGCATCCAGGGGAGAATGGAGCCCACCTACATCCCGCCTACACTTAACCCAAACGACCACTGTCAGAGCAAGTATTTTACTTCATTTTAATGGCATCACTTCTGCCACTCACTCGTAGATCCCATCCCATCTCATCGCACATCGTCTTTCCCTTTGAGGATTTTACAAAAAATGTTGTCAAATTTATTGACTTATTTGTGTTATTGTTGCTCTCTCGCCATTGTATTATCTGGCTTTATCTTTCTGTTGTTTTGTTGGGTATTCTTATACTCATACACAAGCGAATGAGATTGTGCTGCTGTGTTTGAGGATTGAAAAAAGTAATTCGGCAAAGTGGTTTGAGTAGACCCTAAAGGGCGAAAATTCAAGTTTAGACAAGATTTGATAACTCCAATTAGGTTAATTATCGAGTTTGTATAATGATATGGGATCAGTGCTCTTTGCATAACTTGTGAGATTTCAAATTTTAAGTCTGCTTCGAATATTATGAACTTAATTTACAACTCGATTGATTGTAGTATGAGTATAAAAACATTTTCTATGGATTAAAGACAATCAAGATGGTTGACTGAAATATCTCTTGATTCATAGCCAAATTGAAATTGCCATTATTTAATGCTTTCATGCAACTACTTCATCGGTAAGTCGAGGGAGACTCAACCTGCTTTCTGTCATTTTATATACTCAATTTTCTCATCCTCTACTGCAGCCCTATTCGTTAACCGAAAAACTGTATTAGCTAAGTGAACAAGGATTTGAATAGTAGAAGGAGCCAGACCCTTCTGTCTCCTAAAAGCTTTTAAAGTGCGCTCCACCGTACCTGTCTGTAGCCGCACACCCAACCCACCAGTTCGGATCTCGTGGGAATCCTCTCGTTTGTATTTTTTATGTAATGCGGGGAATGTTAAGGTCGTACGGATTTATATGGTATATGGAGTCCCGATTTCAGTGAGGCCGCCGCTTATAAATAGTCCTCGCCGCGACCGATTACCCCTCCGCCATGCGGCATGCACTTCCGGCAATGCGGCCGTTTTGTTTTCTCTCTTGCTTCACACTGTTTTCGTGGCACGTGCCCCTGCCTCTCTGGCTTTACCCTCGTCCGTGCGGCGTCTGCCACTGACTGACGTTCATTGGCTTTTGTGCCAAGATATGCGAGTACGAGTATGTATGTGTATTTGCTTTTGTTATTGTTCCTTCATTCTCGGCGTAGGCCCTACGTCCGGCGGTGTCCTCCATCCTACAGTGTCCCCCATCATTGGCCATAAAATGGTGTCTCTGCGCACATTTCGCTGTTCGCTGGCTGTCCGTGTCTTCTTCCCCGGCTTAACCTTGTCCCAATGCTTTGTCCCTCCCTCATTCTCATTCTCATTCTCATTGTCTTAACGAAATCCCCACAACCTTTGGCCCATTTTTACAAGTTTATTTTGTTCCACAAATTCTTGGGCATTCTTTGAATTTCATTTTGTTGTTTGTTAGCATTTCCCACTCCACATGTCCTGCCGCCTGTCCTGCGTGTCCTGCCTTCCGTCTTTGTTCAGTCATTCCGCATGTCCTGGTTTTCCGTCTTTGTCCAACTTCATTTAATCAGCAATTCATTTATTTAAACGCCCCGTTGTCGTGGCCCTGGAGACCATTCCATTTGTGCTTATTGATTCAGTAAGAGATGCAAATATATGAGAGGTTAAGATGGAAATTAAATAATAGATTAAACTGACACTAATTCGATCTGATGCGTTCATAAATATAGCCCCACTTTTCTGCAATAATTTCACGCCAGCTTAATTCGTTTTTAAATTAGTTTTAGTTAATTTTTGGAGATTTCTGTCTGACACCAATTTATTTCCTTTTCTCATTTGCAGACGATACAAAAATCAAATCGAAGGCAAAAACAGAATTAGTAAGTTAAATAACATATAATGGTGACATGTCCAGAAAACAACCTGTACGCCATGTACGTACGTATCTGTCGAGTTTCAGATACACGGGACAACAACCAACAAGATATTGGAAGAAAGTGCCGAGTAGAAGCACGGGGAAAAGTTCAGCGGTTGCCGTTTTGTGCGGCGCTTATCCGTCTGAGCCACTTTGAGTCGCGATTTGGCAAAAGTTTTGGCCACGTTTACTTGGCTTTCCTCTCCCTCTGAGACTCACCATCGTCTCACCTTCCTTCGTGTGGCTTTGGGCGGAAACAACAAACGAAAAAAGGAGGAAAAGGAAAAGGAAAGATAAAGGGCATAAAACGTGGTCCGATTCGTTTTGGCTTTCGGTTTTGGTCTGGCTTTCGTCCTAAATTTGTTTTCTGCTCGACTCCCATGGCGAAAATTATTGTCTGAGGTTGTGTCGCTTTCCCTTCAAACGCTTCAATTTTCCTCTGCCACATATCCTCTTATTTCCCCTGGTTTATCTGCCTTCTCTGCTATGCCATTTCCCTATATCTCCATATTTTTCTCACTGCTCACATGCGAGTATCCTGTTACCACTTTTCCTAATTTTTCGTTCTTTTTTATGTTTCTATTCTATTCCATTGTATTCTATTGTGTTTTCCTTTTCCTCAACATTTTCTCATGCTATTTTTTAGAGCGAACAATTTTATTTTGGGTTTTGTTTTGTGACTCCTTTTGTGGCAGCTCTGAGGTTCTGACCGAAAACCGAATTATTTACCGATTCGAAATTCAATTAAAGGCTTTGCTTTGCCCTCAATGTGTATTGATTATATAATAATACACCAAAATACCTACCACAGGCTGGTACTGCCTTGTGCCTCGTGCGATGCCACGTAAATAATTGTATTTGCAGGGCGGGAACACACTCGAACACACTGCTGGCCCCTTACGTTACGAGCCGACGGCAATTAGCAATAAATTTAATAACTCAAATTACGCATACGCCACGAGTAACACTCGAAAGGGGAGGCCATACTCGCATAAATGGGTCCGAGCTCCCCATACCTAATAGCTCAGGGAATTGTCCGATTACGATTCAGAAATTACTAGTTATATTG